ATATATATATATATATATATATATATATATCCAGAAGTTCCAAAAGTGTGCAAACATATAGATGAATACAGATTTTGATTACCAGATTCTTGGGCTTCTTCTTCTTTGTTTTAACTGACGTTTCTCCACAATCATAAGGTAATTGCTTTTCAAATTCTCGAACCGACTCCACCTCCACACTTTTCTGAATCTGTGGTCCAACATGTAAAGTACTCTGGTCATCTGGAAAGGAATTGGTATCTCCACTTGAAGCATCCGTCTTAGCTTGAGCCTGTATTGTCCCAGAGACCACAGCAAAAGGACTCACAACTCTCTGCCTAGAAGCTGTACGCATGCGTTTTGTTGGTATTGTTCCAACATTTAAACTTGATGACCTTTTTCCAAGAAGCATGGATGGTTGAGCTCCAGTTGAATAATGCCCGTAAGGCAAATCAGTCCCAATTTCACCGGGCTTAGGAGTGTAAAACTTCATTCTATTTTTGTGTTTCTTGTGCAATGATTTTGATGATCTACTACCCTCATAAACACCAGGCAAATAATAAGTGCTAGTTTCTCCTTCGTCCTCATCATATGCACCCTCTTCATGCCCAAACTCTAGATATAAATTTGAGGAAAAGAAATTGTGATTGATTCCAGAATGATCGACAAAGCACATATAAATCAAATAATCTAAATATTCCCAAAAGTACCTGCTGCAGTATCATACATAGATGTATCAACTTCCTCTTGAATGCTACTACCAGTTTTCTGAGGATAATTTGTATCATCAAAAGTATAAATAAGAATTAAAATAACAACAGTGACACCAAGTATCTTCAAACTAATAAAACATCAGCAGCAGTCATGAAACATTAAACCTTTGGGTAACATAAGGTAGCAAAAGTAGAGCATTTAAGAGCATAAATCTACCTCATATTGTAGAAAGTGAGATTCAATAGACTTCCTGTACATTTCCATTGCAGTAGGAGGAACTGTATAGAATAAGCTTTCCTGGAAATTAAGATACATGTAAAAGAGGTGACCAGGTAAAAAGCAATTGCTAGCTATAACAAACAAAATGGAAAAAGTAAACCATAAAATCATCTATTCCATATATAAATTATTCAGTCCAAAGTAATCAATAAATATAAGAATTAATGGTGTCATAATTGTTCATATTTAATATTCGTAAAGTTTACCTTAACAATTTACATCAATTTATAGATAAATATTTTCTCATTACAAGTACTTTTTATCTCATTTAATTGGACATGTTTATAACAATATCTCCTCTACTAAATTTAAAAATCCATAATTTAACACATTTTATATTATTAGTAATATTTAATTTTACAGTGAAACACATGGGTGATACATACAGCATGTAAAAGAAGCGTCTGGATAAAGGAAAATAGCTTACTATAACAAACAAATAATGAAAGTAAACCACAAAATCATCTATTAAATCATATTAAAATGGCAACATTCAATAGACTTCAAAAACAAGATTTTGATTTGGAGAAAAGTGAAAATAAACAAGAGAAAGGTCACTAACGTACAAACTAATAAGCTAATCAAATAAGGATAAGGTAACTTGGCCCATACTTCAGTAAGATGATCATCCCATGACATATCAACAATGCCCAAGTCCAATACTTTGTCAGGTGTTGTCGGTGCTTCTGCTTGACTGGAAATTCCACGAGACCTACTGTCCTTTAAAAATCTCACAGCATAACTATGCACCTTATGTACTGCCTGTTTAGTGGTCGTTTGTTCATCCTGTGACCAAAACCACCAATAATTAAGCATCAGTAACCAATACCTAAAATAATTACTATTGAAACCTAAAGCTGGGAAAATTTAGAAGTATTTAGAAACATCCAGATCATAAGCACTACAAAAACATTCAAATCTTGCAATAGAAACGAGACTCACATGCTTCTAAATCTAAATAATGTAATAATTTTAAAAAATAATGTCAATTAAACATACATCAACAAGGATGACTACAATGAGCAAACCAAACTGAAAAGGCAAAGAATACTATAATAAAAACTACTATACAAATGTTTTAATACTGAACGTTCTTAAACTACATCTTCAAATAGCACTAAAATATATTGTGAAATTTAGTCTTTCAAATATTATGAGAAATAATAGGAGTACCTAGTCAAATAAAGTATAATAAAGTTCATCCAGAAAACAATAGCTGATACATAAAACAAATCAACAATAAACCAGAACACTAGTAACTACTCATCTAAACCATTTTTATATCTGAAGCACTACATTAAAGATTCCACAAAGCATAAGATCTAGGTTGCTCTTTCAAGTTTACATGATCATAGTACATTTCTTAAAGCAAAATAACCGTTAACAATTGAATAGTTTGTTGTAGCATCACTTTACTCTAAAAGGGTATTCACTCGACAGCAACTAACTAAATGAGTTTGCAATTGTATATAAGTTTAGTCCTATCACAACACCAGCCAATCTTGCGGCCAGCCAAAATAAACACTAATTTAAAAGTACGACAGTAAAAGAACAAAGTAAATAACCAGCACCATCTCGCAATTGCTCCTCTTGTCCCTAGAAGCTTCATTGGAATCAATGTTCAAAGAACTAACTGAACCATCAACACAGTTACGGTCATCATTGACTAAATGGTGCTCAATTGAATTCCAGAACTGCATGACAGCCTTTGCCATGTTGTGAGACAAAATTTTCACCCCAAGATGTTTACTTTGTTTTTCAAATCTTAACCGAGAAGCAAAAGATGCCTGTTGAGACAATTGTGCAGCGGCAGTTATCTTCCAAAGACGCTCCTACAAACACAATTTAGAGGGAATAAAAGGATGTATCAAGAATCAGTTATTAATTTGATATAACAAAGGTTCATATTCTTCCAAGTCCTTATAATTATGATAGAGCAGAGAATCTCAAGTAGGCCTAGAGAATATAACCTGCGCAAAATCATTCGCCAACCACGTCATTTCCTCAAGGACAAAACCCCAGTGAGATTTTCTATGGATCTGTGATGGCAATGTGCGAACAGATAACTCTGCAATCCTCTTCCGCTTGACCTGCATTAACATATGATGTCAGAAGTTTATAGTTTACTGACAAACCCATAAAATTTACAAGAACAATTATCAGTAGAAATAAAAACAAAAATTTAAGACCTCTATAATTTTAGCCTCTTCCAATATAGAATCCTCATGAGCCTTGTCTGGTAACTTCAAGTTGTGTGTGGAACATGGTTGACATTCAGATGCAGTAGTATTAACCTTTTCAACAAGAGCAATTTGCGGAGTTGAAATTGAAACATCAGTAGGAACTTTAAGTCTTTCACAGTTGTCTTCCCTGATACAATTAGGATGATCCAACAAGACACCCCTTTCCTCTTTATCAGCATTTGATATGCTGCTTTCATTGTGAGGCAGTCCTTTAATATTGGAGGAATCTTTCACCTTATTTTGCATGCAAGAACCATTAGTAAGGATGTTTTCCTCACTTTTGACCATGTTACCACTACTAGAATGGTTTACATAAGAAGTAGCATGTTCATTGTTGGAAGTAGCACCACTTTCACCAGTATTGGTATTAATTCCTTCTTTAACAACTTCATAGCCCGTTAAATTCAGCTTCTTCTCAAACTCTGATGTTTGTTCCATAGTATTTCCATTTGCATCAATATTTTTAGAATTACTACACATGTTATTATTATTTACATCTCTAGCTAAACTAGTTTGTGCACAGGAAGACTCCGAATCAAAATTCTTCATGCCTAACGCAGCACTGCAATTTTTATCTCCATTTGCTACACCTTTCCTGTCTACTTTTATGTTGCCAAACCCATTTGGTTGACCAGAACAAGATTCATTTCCAGGTTGTTTAGTAGATGCACAAGGCTCATGCTCAAGATCAACTGATGCTCCCAGGTCCCTTTCTCCAACCGCTTTAGCTTCCCCAGAAGCCAAGACAACTGGATTTTGTATAATATCATCTTGAGAAGGCATAATTCGTTGATCTTCTTTAAATTTTTTATTCACGGCACTGTCCAATTTGTCCTCAGGAACACTAGCACTGCCACTACCTGTTTGACATGCTTGGACACCATCCAATTCATTATCCACTGATTTATTAGATGTTGGATCTTTAGAAAGCACCTCCCCATTTAAACTTGTAGGCTTTGGCTTAGAAACAGAAAGCACATTGTTGTCCTTCTGTTTGTTTGTATCAGATAACAATCCCTTAGCATCTCTTGAAGCCCCACGAGGACCATGATTTGGTTTGGACCTGTTCCTTCGAGCATATGGCCGGAAAATAGCAGAATCTTCAGTCTCCTTTGCATTCTGACTCCCCCCAATTCGAGAAGACTGTTCTGAAGGAGCAATATTAGTTCTTTTAGTTGAATGTAGAGACCTCTTTTCTCCTTCAGGCAACTCGTTCTCACCGTCAAAAAGTAAGAGGTTATCAGCAGTATTTGGTTCACTAAGAGAAGGGACCCCTGGTCTAGCACTACTGTCGACAGAGTCACCATGAGGGGAGGCAGTCAATACAAAACTACTTTTTGCTTCACTGAATCATATTAGGAGGCGGACAAGAAAAAGGAGGTGATAGAACACCATTAAGTGAATTAATAAGCAGTAGATATTCATAAACAACTTACTCGGACTGGTGATAAAAAGAAAAAACAATAAAATAATTGCCAACCTGGTCACAAACTGCTCATGAGGATGATCAGTGATTGAAGTAGACTGCACACTAACTGAAGCAGCATTCCCTAATTTAAAGTCCAAAGGATTGCCTCCCTGAAATTACAACAGTTAAGCAGCTCATCATTTACAGAGAAAATCTACTGATACAAGATTGCAAAAGAACAAATCTTCTTACTTTTTCAAGAAATTCTAGTTCCCTTCTTCTTTCTTCACGAACATCATATTCCAGTCTGTATCAACATGCATGAGTTATTCTTCATGCATATGATTAAATTGGCACTCAAAAACCACAATCAGAAAAATAATGCAAGAGCAGAAACAGTTTTCCCTTCACCTGAGCTCTGCCTGAGCCTTCTCAATAGCTACTCGACGCGGAGAGGTTTTCAAACCTATACCAACTCCGCCATCAACAACACCTCCCATGGAATCAACCTCAGCATTTACAAGGAAGACAGATCCTGAGTTACATCCATGCATCCCACTCTTAATGTCTAAGAATGTCACTTTCCATTTATCAAAGAATCTGCTAATTTTAGAAAAAACAGCAAATTAAAGATGTAGATCCAAGTACTAAGTGTACATTAAGGCCTATAAATTTCCTCACTGATCAAACATTAGAAACGCTAACAATTAATCAACACTCGAAGCATAGACAGTAATTTCATCTTGTGATGTACAAACGTACTTAAAAACAAGTTGAAATAAGTGAACTTTTTAGCAAGAATTAATCACTATCAAAAAGATTCCCCCATATTGAAAATGTGACATACTCAATGCAAGCCTGTTACAATTCGATGTTCAGAACTTGGATCTCCTGAATTTCAAACATTGCAATTGGGTTTATGATCAATTTTTTATTATAAAATAAATCGGTTAGGATGGTTGAGATCATAGACAGTTTTCTGAAAACAGTTAACCATCTTAATTCAAGATGAATATACTAATCACTCGCAGCATATATTATCAATCGAATATAATTTTTCATTTCCATTGCAATTGAGATTCTGAAATTTTTTTAACACAAAGGTTACATCTGCTTCCACTGAGTGAATAAATGACAATTGATAAGTGATGATCATTCCACATGAGCCACATATAAGTATAACTTTAAAAAGGAGATGTGACCAAAGAAGAAAAACAATTATCTAAACCATTTCCTGATCGAAAAATTCACCTTATAATCAAATCCCCCAAAAACATTCTGAGATGCATGCTAGAAAGTATCTACAACATAGTTACATAATGAAATAAAATACCATAGTTATCCTCACATAAGTCACCAGATTGTATGAACAGTTTAAAGGACAAGAATAACATACATACAACCAAACAAATTGTAGGAAAAGTCAGAATATGTCCAGGTTTTGAAAGAATAAGGCAACCTCACAAGCTTAAAATGTTTGCACGGGACATGAAATTTGAGACCAGACATAAGAACCACACTAACAGCACAACCACGTCCATTAGAAACATACCAACTAATATTATAATAGGAACATGTAAAAAATAAAGTAATGAAACGTAAAGTCATTAACACCTATATTCGGTAACCATTACATACATGAAAAGGTTGCCACCAATTATTCCCTCCAAATTTTTAAAGTGAGATCACTATCCCCACATGTATAGTTCAAATTACTAGCTCCCCACTTAAACACCGGCATTCTAATTTGCTACCCGGTAAGTGTTAAAAACCAAAACTACCAAGTTTTTTAACAGAACAATGCAGCACCACATTAGCAGACACAAACTCGAGGCACCAAGCCATTCCATTCTAACACAATGCATAGCACACACAGCGCTCCATAATTCGCCCAAACATTCGAAACCCTAACCTCGACCATTTCCAGCAATTTCCCCAATTTCACAATTCTAGGGTTTCGAGTAATGGCAATAAAACAACAATTAGGGCGAGAAATAGCACCTGAACGCGGAAATGGGAACCTAGGGCACAATTCAGGCGCGTCCTGAGTTGCAATTCCTCTCTCCTAGGGTTTTGGAAATTAGGGTCCCTTCGCTCAGAGGGGCAACGATGGCGAATTTGCCCTAAAACCTAACGCGTAAGGCAACGAATGTGAGAGCCATGGAAGAAGGTTTTGTTTTGTTTTGTTCCCTCGGCAAGGAAGTGTGTGTTTGCGTGGTCGAGCAATTGGGGTTGCGTTGAGTTTCTCTCTCTAGAATTTGTAGAAAGAGGAAGGTCGTTTTGGTGTTACGGGTTGTCGTTGATGATGTTGCGGGGTGAGAGAAAGAAAGAGGGACTATGCAACCTCTGGTAGAGTGTTGTGGGCTTTGGGGCATGAACACGATGATTCACAGAGGAGAGGGCTCGTAAGAAAATGGACGTTCATTTTGGGCTTTTTATTGTGCACTTTTTCTTTTCATCAGAAGTTTGTGTGATTTAGAATCAAAATAGGTTTAATTAATTTCGTTTAGTTCTTCTAATCTTGCTTCTGATCTTGTCAATTAGGACAAAGGTTTTCATTTATTAGGTTTCGTTTTATTGCATCGAAGACGACGATGTCATACGCCAAAACTACATAATCTTTCTCATATCTTTATTACATATTATTATTAGACTCCAAAATTCATTATTATCAACTAAAAAAATTATTGGATTTCCTAATTTTTAGTAATCTAGATCACTAACATTCTTTTATGTTCATCCTTGAGTGAAACTTATCTGTTAAAATTTTGAATCATAAACTTAAAATTATTAGAATTTTGGAGTGTTGGAGTATCCAATTTTAAATAATAATAATAGTAATTCAGTAGTTTTAGTAATCAATGATGAGAGCGAACTCCATGAAAATCCTTGATAATTTTTTTAAAATAATTTTTTTAAAATAATTTTCTTCTATTTATTTATACTTTTATAAATATTGTTGATTATACAAGTAAATATATGATGAATAAGACATTAGTAAGTTAGTAAAACAGCATCTTAAATCAAAAGTTTTATTACATTAAAAGGATCTTATGTTTTCCATCCTGGAACATATTGCTTTAATAATTGAAGTTTTAAAAAAAAATTATAATTCGAAATTTTTTATTTTATTTTTACTTCTTTTTTTATTTCTTAAATTATCCTTCATTCCTCCACTACCAATCACCTTACTCCCCTCTCATTTTTTACTTACACCTTGCATTAGTCTACTTTTAGTGATAAGGGTAATTAAAGTAGTTTGTGATAAAAAGTTTGAAGTGTTGGATTATCCAATTTTAAATGATAATAATAGTAATTAAGCAGTTTTAGTAATGAATGAAGTGAAGCATATAAAATCTATCAAAATAATTGATAATTCTTAAATGATTTTTTATGTACATTTTCGTAACTATGTTTTCTACTGACTTTAAGAGACATGTTATCATAAAAAATTAGATAATGAATGTGACATTAGGAATGTTAGTAAAGCAGTATCTTAACTTGAGTTAGGAGTTTAACTACATTAGAGTATCTTAAAGTGTTTGTTATCATGGAAAGTTTAATTTTTTTTTTTTTTATAATTTGAAATTATTCATTCTTTTTTATTTTTTCTATTTTCTTTCCTAAAATAAACTTCACTCCTCTCTTCCCGCCACCTCTCTTCCCTCTCCTCTTTCATTTTTAACCAATCTTTATTACTTAATTACCTTTTCTACTTACAATTGCATAGGTTTACTTTTAGTGATAAGGATAATTGAAGTGATGGCGGGATGGTTTGTAAAAAAGTTCTTTATAAGGGATGCTAATTAACATTTTTTTATTTGGTATTATAAGATAAATTTATCTCGCAAAATTTTAATTTAACACTTGTAATAATTATTTTGAAGTGTTTAGTTACCTTATATAAAAGTCAAAAGTATAGCTAATTTAGGTAGTTTTTATTGTTATTGATGTTGGTAAATTAATATGAAAACCTATAACTATCACTTATTGTTATTTTTTTAAATGATTTTCTTCATTCATTCCCATGAAAAAAGAGAAAGATAGTTGTTATTAAGTGCAATAAAGTAAACATATCGTTTTATAGTGTAAATAAAGCAAGTGGGTGAAAACTATTAAATAATAGTAAATGCATGGTAATGTCCTTTCTCTCCTTCAACATAGTCTACAAACAAAGCCATGAACATTTCTTATAAGGAGTTTTACAACGTCTTGCCAATAACTACCTTTCCACAAGTATGTGTGTGGCAAAATTGAAAACTTCATATATAAAAATGTTGTTTGCACAATAATAAATTCATGTAAAATTACATAACATCCTTGTCACAATGCTTTGTCAAAGTATATTGTCTTTTGGGTAACATATTTTGTTGTAGTAGTCAATATATTATGTGTAGGATATCTTTATTACAACTCTTCATAGTACCAGCATTATCAAAATGAACATACAAACTAAAAAATTTAGTTCATTTAGTTAGAATCATTTTGAGATGTGAGTCAACAATGATAACAAATATAAAACTAAACAATCCAAATTTGTTCTTATGATTCCATATGTACACTACATCTACTTATCATATTGATGTCTTCTAGACTTTGTGTAGCATTTAGTCTTCATTTTAGCTTGCAATTCATCTAGTCACTTACATTCTAGAACAACTTATGCATAGGGTCATTTGAACTTTGCATCACTTAGTGCTTTATGTAACATTAGATAAGCTTTGCATAGAATCCTCCAAGCTTCAATTTTTTTTTTAGATTTTGATCTTTTATGTGATCACCTTGCTTTTCCTAATACACTCTACCTAGTTTTGATTAAATTGACCAAAACTTATCATTATTTCCTTTTACTTATAAAAGTACATATGAAAATTAGTATGTTATTTGTTAACCTTAAATATCAATCCCAACAAACTCAACAAACAATACAAAAGATAGAGTCCTAGGATTACCTACAATCATCTTACTCGATCTCATTTTATTACACATATGGATACATATTTCACTTTTAATGATCTACTATGAACATCAAAAGTTATGTTGGGAAGTTAGGTAGTTAAGTATTTCTCAATAAACATATTAATAAACATATTGATACAATTATAACTATTTATTTCTTGAGAATATCAACCATTTATCAGCCCACATAAAAGATATACCCTCACTACCTCACATTGATGACGCTACGAAGGTATCAGATAATCCCAAGTTTGGCCTATGAATATCCTAGTCTAGCGTGTCATTGTGAATTACTCATATATTTACCTATTTAGTACAAACTTTCTTAGCTTAGAGGTGTCAAATTGACCCATGGCCTATGTGTCAACCCTAACCCATTTTTGAAAAAAATATCCTCTTTTAGGAGGCCCCTCTTAAGTGGGGGTAAAAAAAAACTGAATCCCGAAAGCCCTCTCAAGTGGGTTATGTCAAAATTAAAGTGAGTTTGACCCTACTACAAGATTTTAATTAACTTTTAGAAACAATATCATTTATGTACATATATAAAATTTTATATTTTATTAGATTGTCTAATAAATTATAATTTTTAATATTTTTCTATCATATTTATTATTATGTTATTAAATAAAATATATAATACATAATTTAATACTAACTATAATTTATTTATTAATATAAATTAAGTTATAAACTATTATACATCAAAGTCAATTTTTTGAAGATAGAGTTCAAAACTTATTAAGCACTTATATATATATATATATACATATATATATATATATATATATATATACATATATATATGTATATATATATATACATATATATGTATATATATATATACATATATATGTATATATATATATATACATATATATATATATATATATATTTCTATTCTTCTTCAATTTTTTAAGATAAACATTTTAAAAGGGAAAACGGATATGATAATGTTAATTTGATACTATTGTAAAAAGGTGAAACGAAAAAGAAAACAAACTAACGTTATCTTTTGGTTGAATATATGTTTTATTAACAGGTATATTAAGAATAATTGTCTTATTTTAATAAATGTTGTTATAAAATATAATTTTTTTATCTTATATTGTGATCAAACATATTTGATGAACAATTAATTATAAAATAGTCATTTTATATGTTATTTTTATAAGAGAAAAAAACAGTAAAAAAGGATATCAGTCTTTATATTTGAGATTTATAATCTTATCTTAATATAGACTTTGTAATCTCTACTTACTAACTCTATTTATTTTCCATATTTATTTTAATTAATGTTTAAACTAACACTAACTATTTATTTTTAATATTTATTCAAGTTAATTAAATTATTTATTTTGATTTAACGTTTTATATTGATGAATATATATTTTAATTAAATTTTTATGTTGATGTTAATATATTTGATTTTCAATTTTATTTTAGGTAATTAAATTGCCACCAACACAAAATTAATTCTATATATTATAATTAGCGTCAGTTTATAAAGTGCATTTTTATACTAAATGTAAGAGAAATGTAAAAAAAAATTGTGAACTTTTGTTCTCGTTGATTTTTTAACTAACGTTTATTTTTTTCTTACCTTTGGAGAAGTAAAGTTATATATATTTATATTTATTTGAGATATATTATAAAGGTGAAATAATCATAAAAGAGAAAATTATTATATTTTTAGAAAGAAAAAATAATAAAGAATGGTAATATTAAATAATGTAAAATATTATGTGTATTGATTTTTAGATTTGGAATTGTATGAGGTGATTCTTTGTACACAGTTCTTTGATAAAATAAAAATGATTTGATAAATTAAAAATAATTAAATTTATAATAAATTAGGAGTTAATTGTATTTTTTTTTGTATTCAAAATGAAGATTTTTTTTTTTTTTCATAAAAGAATACCCATGAGCTGACATTGCCAATAGGGCTTTTGGGGATATTTTGTCCTTGTTGGCTTTTCTAATAAGGGGCTTATTGGCTTTATACGTTTCACTCGTACTTCCAAAGGTTTCACCCTGCACCCCTAATTTCCACAAATGCCCTCCTAACTAATGAGGTCGTTGTGCATTAAATATTTTGACCGAAATGGTTGAGATACATTGATTGAAGCAATGTTGAATATATATTTCAATCTTCACGAAGACTTGAGATACATTTGTTAAGGTTGTTTGTGTTTGAGGCATCTAGTGATGGTTCGAGACAGTTGGAGGTAGTGGTTGGCATTCGAGTTGAGAGTGTTTTTTTCATATTCTCACGTAAAAAAGTGCATAAATTTATAATAAAAGTTGTAAATCTACTCGGATATGTCAATCCGATGAATAAAGAATCGAACATTAAAATCTAATCATAAAAAAAATGAATCGAATATTAAAATCCGATCACAATATTAAATATCGAAATCCGATAAAGGAAGAATCGGATTTCGACATCTTATGTTCTCTTTTCATATCCGATACATTATATGAAATCCGAGCCTCACTACTTTGCTTCAGTTTTAAATTGCTTTGCTTCAATTTTAATTTTTAGCTTTTTTTTT